AGAGCAGAGCAGAGCAGAGCAGAGCAGAGCAGAGCAGAGCAGAGCAGAGCAGAGCAGAGCAGAGCAGAGCAGAGCAGAGCAGAGCAGAGCAGAGAAGAGAAGAGAAGAGAAGGGGAAAAAAGAGATAGAGAGAAAAGAAAGTTAACCAACTAAAAGTACGTTACAAAAGCTGTTATAGATTAATTATACTAGTGAGTGTATAGATTAATTATAGTCTTCGGATGTTAACATTTAACTGAAATAGRAAACCAATTTATCTGCCAAGGTATATCCTCAGGCTATTTCCTTCATAATCGTTGATTTTGAATGAAATATTTCTGCATAGGTGACTCACGGACTGACATCTGTTTAACGAATAGATATTTAAGATTAAACACCTACGCGCAAAGTGGAAAACAAAGTCAGAAAGACTCCCCAATAGACCGTTTTCTCAAGGCTGCGTGCGCATCCAGCTTGACGGGCCAAAACTGAAAAACGCAAATTCTGTAAAATTGAGAAGCCAGTTTAAGATTTAAAGAGGAGAATAATCGATTTTATGACTTCTTATCGAAACAAAATTCATAGAAATGTATGATAATTCTCATTATAAAGCTCCTGTTCTGGTTTCGTGGCCTTTCAAGTTTCTTACATTTGGATGAGCGCGCAACCTTGAGAAAACGGTATAATTGGCTCGAAAACCAGCGAGGACCGTAAGTTAGATAAATCCTGGGGTTATTTACGTCATCCTTTAAAAATAATAAAGTTTATTGTGTTGTTACATGTAACTGCTGTGAATCTCCCATGACTTTGTCAAAATCAAAATACGAACATTACGCGGGCATGACTGTGATGCTGTACATAGTGCGTTTTTGATTGGATGATTTGCGATCTAAGACTTGCTGTGATTGGCTCTACTAAAGTCCTCAATTTCATGTGTCGTGACTTTTGTCCTTAAAAATAAATTAGCTGTGAAATTACCACAAGATGGGTTATTAAATCGAACCAAGGAAATTACGACACAAAAATACTTTGTCAATCCCAGACGATCTGCGCACCATCAACTGGTCGCCATGGCACGTCCATACTGGCCTCTTCCATCCCAGTTAGGGCGCGGCACTGTAATGTCAAGGTTGGGATATCCATACCTCTTCAGTCCCAGATAGGGCATGACACTCACGGCTTGATACTCTACTCAATCACAACACCGAGTCCGGCAAACGAGTTAGGAGTCCCTTGGTTGCATTGGTGAGAGGTGAGCACTCTTAACCGCTACCAGATGACAGTTGTTTTATATTCAATCGACAATCATTTTATTGCAGTCAAGTATAACTATATGAGAAAAGATTTTGAGTGTTCTTACAATTGTCTTGATATCTTCAAATCAAATATAAGACCTAAACTTAATCATCGGAGTGCTGCATACATGAACTAGGAGAAACAAAATGCTTGAATCCATCCTCGATTCTCCTCCCACACTGGTAACAGTAGTGTTTCTTACAAGACCAGCATTTTAAATGGTTGTTGTTTAAGACCTTGATATTCTTCTGTGAGCACGTTGGACATTTCTTTAATTTTATGTTTTTTCCTGGGTTGTTTTTCTTGTACACAGCAATCAATAGCTCTCCTTCACTAGGTGGCTTGACTACTAATGGTGGTGGTTGATATGCAAACGTTGAGCACTGAGATGATGAGAAATGACTATAACCAGATATTGCCCTTCCTGATTAATGTAAGAAAAAGACAGTGTTTTATTAGAGTGGTTTTCAGGAAGGTGCCTTGCATGGGAAATTATAAAATAAAACAAACCCCTTGAAATACACTTTAGAATCTTTAGCACTACTTCACTCTAGTTCTTTTGTTTTCTATTGAGTTTATCTCCAGCTGATCTGAGAAAAACTGTTAGCCAATCAAAATTGAGAAAAAAATAATGTTGCTAACAGGCATTTGATAACAGAGGCACAACAATGAATGAGTTTTATATTTTGATTTGAATGCCGAGCTTGTTTTCATTTCTTGTTGGTCAACTTTCGCAGGATTCATGACACCTCAGTTATACGTCACTGAAAAATATATTTCAGATAATCTGGCTTACTATTACACTTCAATCAGTAAATGTGGCAAAAAAATGGCAGCTCTATAGAATTTAATATACAGTAATTTTCAAATTAGTTTTGTAAAGAGAAAAATAAATTGTAATGTTGTTGAAAAAATTGATTTTTAGTTTGGTGTTTCGGAGCTCAAACTAAATCGTAGGTTTTTGAATTTGGGCCTCCCCCTTGGAAAAATCCTAGGCCCCTGATGAATGAATGGATAGTCAGATGGATACTAGTTAGGCCAAACAAAAAAATAAGTGTGTTTCCTGTTGCGCGACCGACCCTAATTTTCTTGCCAATTTTTGCTGACCCTAATATTGCTTTCATTTATGGTTGTGAAAGTCTAGTCTCACAAGACAAGAAATGCTCAGCTTCGGGGATTATTCGGAAGATTTGATACTCTAATCTGGAGACCGGGAGACACGGTCCAAAATCTGGAGACTCCCGGTTTATCCGGGAGAGTTGACAGCCCTGTTATCCACCAGCCATCACACAATCTTATTTACTACAGTAGTTTTCGATATTCTGTTACTGCCATCAGTCAAGAGCATAAATAGGTACCCACTGATTATTTTTTATTGATGCCAGCAAAAAACCACATTTCAGCATGCAGCTTGCAACTACTAATTTAGCAGAAATATCAAAACTGCAGTAAGTCAGACTCTAGAGACACGGCTTTGGAATTACAATAAGAGTAAAAAATAGATTTATAGATAGATGGATGCGTGAATATTCAGAAAATAATATTCTACTTACCACAGATCCAACAGAAATTTCCATGGCACTGGGAACAGGTCATAAAATTACAGCCCTCAGTTTTTTCAATAACCATTTTACATTTAGGGCAGTTTCTATACATTCCCTTGGCTTTCATTGCAACAATGAATTTAGTATTACTCATTTGTTGACTCATGACTTTTCTTTGTGCTCTTGAACCTTCTTCTACTTCATCATCTTCGTCACCCATTTTTTTCTTCTTCTTCTTCTTTTTCTTCTTCTTCATTTCTTTCCCTTTTTCCTCTTCTTCTCCATCACAGGACTGCCTTGCATGCCAAGGCCCCTGGCACTCAGTGCAAAAGGAATAAAAACACACAGCACATTGAGCAAGCCTGGAAGATTCATCTTCATCAGCAACAACTACACTGTTACATCTAGGGCAATAGTAAACATCTCTCATCATATCAAGAGTCTTGCTCAGGAGAAGCCGCTCCCACCTCTTGTATGTTTCTTCTTCAAGAACTTCTTGTAAAACTTGAGGAGGAATTGTCTCATTACAGTCATGAGTTGGGCACATTAACCTAGTGACTGAACCAGATTGAATATGAGTGTCGCAATGCAGCTTTAGACACTCACTCAAGGCAACAGAAGTGATGACACTCCTCCAAGAAGCAGAATTCTTTTCCTTCTTTTTCTTCAAAGCAAATTTCACAAGTGTGTGGAACTTTGAAAAATTCCTGCCTCTTGATGTCCAGATCATGCTCAAAGATATTCAAGAGTGCAAGCTCTAGGGCACTGTTGTTCATACCATAGTCATCAGATGAAAAATTCTCTTTGAAACCTTCTTTGAGAATGATATGAGAAGACAACCCAAGAACCTCCCAGGAAGAATTCTGCAACCATTCTGCCCAGGTAAAGACCACAGGTGCATTAACATTCTCTTGCCACAATTCTTCAAGTCTTCTTGACAGCTCTTGAATTTGACAATCACTCAGCCAGTCACAATAGATGTTAAATTCTGGGAGAGCCTCTGTGGGGTACAAAGGAGGGAACTTACAAAACAGATGAATGGGTGTGAGTGTGCTCACTTCAGATTGAATGTGCCAGTGTTTTGTAGAGAGTAACCTTGATAATCCTGGTTTCTTTTTGCACTGGGAGCCACTTGGTTCAGTCAAGTTACTCCCACTGCCCCCAAATTCACCAGCTGCTTCTTGGAGTTCGCCAACATTATTATCATTGATGGCATTGTTCTCAACAACCTCGCCATCACCATTTTCGCTCTCGTCTGAATCAGAGCTCAAGGCAAGTGGTTCAGGGGTAATTACAGGGACAACTGCTTCAACGATAATCTTCTCTTGAGGATGAGTAATCTCCAGACTCAAGGTGAACTCAATTCCTTTGTTGTTGTTGTTATGTTCGCCATCATCGTCTTGTCGGATTAAATTAAAGTTGTCCCCGTAGATTGATTCCAGAACGACTACCTCGTCATTCTGCTCCGAGAGTGCATTTTCAAGAACTTCATCCATACATATGAAAAGTTTCTTGCAACAACCATGTAAATTTTAAAACTTTTTGAAATAGCAAGTGCCGAACAAAATGTAAGAAGAGACAAAGATATTCCCTTAAAGTCACCTGTGAGAGGAAATTATCTGAATAAAATGTCTTGTCCACAGATCACGGTGTTAGGAGCAGAATGTTCGATCAAAAGATCAAAAATTACTTTTCTATTGTGCTTCAAGTCCGTTTGGAACATTGCACCATCCAGAGAAATGAATTACTCCCTACCCCTCTCCCCTTGGTATGATTTTAGTCACATGTGTGCAAAAGGTATAATTTAGCATCATTTTAACTCTCTTTTATTAGAAATAGCTTTACCTTCTCTTAAAAATCAAGAAAATACATAACTTAGTTAGTCCGGGAAAATTTTTTGTTGCATATCATTTTAATTCTGCAGGTTTAGTTGCGTGACTACATGTTTGCGTGACGAACTCAAACATAAATAGAAGACTGAATAATATTTCATCAAAGCAACGTAACACAACCAGCCATTGTTGGCACTGTTGAGTCAAGAAATATCGTTTCTATCAAGTCTTGCTTCCATATAATTATGAAGGTAAGAAAGCTTTTATTTTATTTTAATATATAGGATGAAATACAGTAACAAATACATAATATTTGATAGCCAAGCTGAAAGCATACGTGCTTTATATGTAAATATAACACGATGTAAGAGGTATTTTTGAGAGGTGAACGGAGGTGAATTACCTATAAAAAAGCGAAATTTTGTCTTCTATAAATTTCAAATTTACCTATTAAGAGCTGTGACAATTTTAATCCCTAAATATGTAGAATAATACGCTGTCAAATTTATATGAGACTTATAGTTATCTATTTTAGAAAAATATTTCTCATCTTCTACAACTCACTGTTCTAAAATTCAATTAATTTTACTGAAGATGGTGTTCGCATTTTTTATTGGTTTACTTTCTCTTTCGAATGTCATGTTTTTGCAATTTCGTATGTATACAGATAGTATTTGTGTGTAGGGCTTTTTATTGTCGTGACAATGTTACAAGTATATGCAGCTATTAAATAATGGCGGGCATTTGAAAAATTTGTAACTTTTGTGCGATTGAAATAATATGGGCAACACCTGTATGAGCTACCAACCATTTAAATGGACCTTAAGAAACTCAATTCAAGACTTTAAGAAACTTAAGGAATTCAAGATTCAAAGATGTTGGTCGAAACACCAAAATGATCTAGACTTTTGTGGGGAAAATGAACAAAAGTAAATGTAGGGGATAGTGTGAGGTCAACCACAGGAACCCCAATTTTGAATATTTTGAAATCTATGTATTCTACCATAGATTGAAAGAAATAAGTGCTCATGGGAATAAACCGAATCGAAATATAGCGACCAATTTGAATAACTATTGTTATTTTTTTACCATCCGATCCCTAAGAGCATTCTCTGATATTGAAAATCTTTTCATTTTCGACCTAATACACCTATTATACATGTCTGTAAATATTTTTGGACAGTCCATTCATTTCCCATTTCTATATTTCTATTTTTTCAGCCTTGGTAACAATGAGGTTTCACGAGGATATAACCTCAACAGAGAAACGTCACGGAGCTTATGTTCATTTTATTTGCAACATTTTACGTGGTATCGCATATTATCTCGAGTGGTCCACAAAATTCATCTTGCATTTCGCGCTTCACTTGGTCGATGTCCTAGAAGCTCTAACCAGTGTGTTATTACAAGTATTTAAGGTCGTAAAACTGTTGATCAAGGTTTTATTTTCCTTCGGAGACCTCCTGAAGTTCGCTGGACGAAACGTTGGAGCAGAGGGCTCGTTTCTCTTCGTGCTGTGTTTGATCACGTATTTTTGCTTCTGGCTCGGAGGCAGCTCTTCTGTTTTCTCGGTATCTGGTGCTCTCTATATCAACGTGTGCATAGTTTGTGTGTATGTTTGGGCTATTACTATTCCAGTTGGAGGTTTTCTTGTTTTTGTTCGTCTGAGGAGAAAGATTAAACGACAAATCGACTTGTTGGTAAATTACGAAGAATTTTATGAAGATTCTGAATATGCTGCTAAGAGTACGGAACCTGTGAGTATATTGCAGCCGAGGGCTCAGAGAATTACTAACAAAGAACTCTTTGCAGATAAAACCACTGAAACTGAGGCGGAATCAGTAGAATTCACAGCCATTGACGACGACGAAGCATCAGATTTAAGGCAGCGGAAAGATTCCTTGTCTAGTGAGGGAACAGGAAAGGATGAGGAAGACGAAGTAGGGTCGCGGTCCGATGAGAAGGAAGGCAAAGCGGGGAAAGGAAAGAAATCATTTCTCAAACGTACCCCACGAAAGCGGATAAAAGACAAGAAAAATTTAAAAAAAATTGCACAAATTAGTAAGTTTAGTTGACCTCGGTATACCAAAAAAACTTTTCACTAATTTGTATTATTTGTTAGTTCACTTTTTCACGTATATATGGTATGCACTCTTGCATTGTGCATAAACTACAGTTAGAATTTTGAATGACATTTTCCCCCCTCACTTGCCCTGTGACGAGATGACAAGTCGCAAGTAGAATTCTGTTTTCACCGCGTTCTGTGCGCATCTACTATCTTAATACTTGGCGTACGAACAAGGATTGCGAACAGCAAATTTTGCGCATACTAATACCTCGCGCGCAACTACGATGTATACGTTTTCTTTACCACACCAACGTATACACCTAGGTACCTATTCTTTACTATCACTTCCGGTAATATCTGTGTTTTGAGGAGCTTGAAGGACGTTGCATATGTGTCTTGATTTTTGCCGGGTTTCAGGCCATAGAAGTAGTATACACCTAGGTGCCTATTCTTTACATCAATAGACGTCACTTCCGGTAATATCTGTGTTTTAAGGATCTTGAAGGTTGCATATGTCTTGATTTTAGCCGGGCTTCAGGCCATAGAAGTAGTCAGATAGAATACTTTGAGGACTTATTTTGACATGTTTTGGCTTATCAGTTGCTAGATGTATATCAATTGCCCTTCAGTCAAATCAAAAGTCACGTGATTGATAGTATGCGTTTTTGCCATTCGCCATATTCCTGTCTACCCAAATGCTTAACCCAATCTTACGGCAAGCGGAAGATATTAGTACCCAGTTTCCCATTCGGTTTCTAATCAATATGGCGTCGATGACGTCATTAATTTGATGCAATACCACACGAATCAATAAAGATATTTTTTTATTGAAATATTCAACGTGTATAAACGTTAACCGCATATATATTAAACAACAACTGCTTCAGTGTGCTCGGTTTTTTCTTATTCATTACATGTGCAACAAGCCAATCACGGGTGAGTACGCAGACGTTCTTAGGTTCGTCACGCAACGTTTTTCTTAGAGAGAAACGATCCTGAAAACGCATGCGTAGGAGGCTAGGATGAGTTGTGCTACGGGTATATGTCACGGTGAGATCCATCATTATCGTTTACCGAATCAAAACATTCAGTGATTTCCTCAAAATCTGAAAACCTTTTTTCTTTAACATTTTTATTTGTCAGAATAAGTAGAGTGCATACCATATATCCGTGAAAAACTTTGTAAGAAAATGCACAAATTTGCACAAATTAGTAAGTTCAGTAGACCTACAAAACTTCTAGAAAAGCGTGCAATTTTTTTGACGATAGACGGAGCAGCAATGAGAATGTTAAGGTAAAAATCACTCCGTGTGAAAACGCCAAAAAAACCCAGGACATGTCAAAGCGCGGAAAACTTGAGCTTATAGAAACACAAGAGTCAGTTCTCTAGCATGACATGACGCAAAAAGAAACCGTATTATATTAGAGCGATATCACATAAGCAATGTTTAGCATGCAAATGAGCTGGTGAGTAAAATAGCATGTTAATGATGTGCTCACGTGGCTACACGCTTCGGTGAACCAGCTAAAGTTTTAAAAAAGACTATAACGACAAAAATTCGCTGTCAAGCAGTAGAAAATTTATTCCTTTTTTTATTACCTACCCAGCCAAACTACAAATATAAGCTCAACAAAACATGCAAAAAATTTCATCTTAAATAATCTCTCTTGCAGTCTTTTCGTACAAATTTAACCATTAGACAGGCTTATCTTGATTTGTTTTCTTAATTTGATTATCCACACYGACTAGCAGACTGTTCACTCTTTCGAGTGTGTCCATCGCCTTGGTACACAAATTTTTATGTGCTTCTTGAGCTTCTCTTGCAACTTCCCTATCACTTTTMATTKTCTWCTTGCTTTGCTCTAGTCTTGCTTCGCTGTCACTGTCTGTGGAGGATGCAGTAAAATCCTTACGCAATTTGTTTTGCAACTTTCTATGGGCTGGGGTCCCTTTTGACGCGTACTTCATCAGGTTCTCCTGTATTTCGGTTTGCTCCTCTACATATATTGGCTTAGAGGAGGCCGACGTGGAAGTGGATGGGAGTGGAGATGAGAGGGCCTTCTTGACGATATTTTTCATGCGGTTTATAACGCGGTCTTGTGGAGAATCCATGTATATCTGCACAACACGTTGAGGCAGCTCCGCATCTAGTATTCGCTCTTTCGTAAACAGAAGGACATGTTTCCAATCCTTCCCCATGGATAGGTTGTAGCATTGGAGAATAAACTTCCTTTTCAGGTCACCTACATTCGCTCTTGCTTTCTTTTCGGTGCCTGTTTTATTTTGAAGGGAAATGATTAATAAAATGTCAAAGTATTGAAATGTTTCATTCGCGAGTTTTCTGCAGTTTCAACTCCCTGGGCACTTACCTGCTTTATTTGATTCTTGTTCATCGAGTCTATCGTTTGAAGAGGTACTTTCTACTTCCAAGGGACTCCACATTTTCGAGGAAATCGAATATTAGCGGAAAATATTTCAAATTTAGAACAGCTCCTAAAACTCAACACCCGCAACACTGGCGAGAAATATGGTGAGAGTGGAAAAAATGCATGAAAGAATTTGTAATTTGTATTGTCCTTTAATTAGCATCACCATGCAACCATGAAATACAGTGCATGCATGTGAGAAGACCTGATGGATCTCGTACAGCTACAGTCCTTGCTTCGAACCTTAATAGCGGTCGTGCTGCTTTTTGTTGCCTTGCAGCCTCCACTAAGAGGTGGTCGCTTTTCCTTGAGCCAGCGTTTGCTACCGGGTTTTCACGGATATGACTTTCGAGGGCGGGACGTGTTTTCTCTTATTTCTGGGCAGTGTTGGTT